TTGACAGGACACTATGTATTTAACATGCTATTCTTCAAGGTGATTCACTAGCTTTCAGTCTGGATGGCAGGAAAATACAAAGCCAGACCTCTTTCTTGGCATTTTTCAAAACGTGTCTGGAATTTAAAGAGCTTCTTCATATTTTTCTTAATTTTCTCTGGAAGGCACTTTGCCAAAAGAAAAGGTGCCAGTTCACTTGAAGGATCTGATGGGAAGCCAAATTAAAATGCAGTTTTCTTTCAGAAATTACAAAATGAGCTAATTAGAACTGTCCCCAAGAATCTGAAGTCCTTATTCAAGTAACTGTCTGGCTAGTATGCTCTGTAAATAATTACTGCTTCCCTCTGGCAGTCATCCCATTATGTTGCTACAGGGGACCATATTGTTGCCATGGTGGGCAGCATCACAACAGTGGAACCAATTTCACAGGGTCTTCCTGTGCAGTTCTTGGCTTACAGGATCTAAAAACCTGAGAGGAACCCCATCTGAGGAATGAAATCAGCCCCAGTGAAATTAGTACTGAGGTAAACAGTTAAGCAAACAGTTGAGCAAATGCCTCTGTGAACTTAGCAGCAGGGAGACAAAGCCAAGCAGTAAAATCCCTCCTCCACCTTCTTTCGTTCCCTTAAGGCTGAGGTAGACATCCTGGAGAATCTGAGAAAGACAGTGGGCCGATAGCATGCAATAGTGCTATATCACCCCTAAAAGATTAATGTCTGTATTGTGATGAAGAACAAGGGTCTTGGGGAAAGGTAGGCATCACTCCAAGTGAGAGAGAAATAACCCCTTAGAACAGAGGTTCCCAACCTTGGGCCCCCAGGTGTTCTTGGACTACAACTCCCAGAAATCCTGGCCAGAACAGCTAGTGGTGAAAGCTTCTGGGGGTTTTAGTCCAAGAACACCTGGGGACCCAAGTTTGGGAACCACTGTTCTAAGGGGTTATTTCTCTCTCACTTTGAGTGATGCTTACCTTTCCCCAAGACCCTCGTTCTTCATCATAATGTTTCTCTGGGAAACAGATGTGCCAAATGTAACTTCAGGAATTGGGGGTGGGGAAAAGACAGGAGCTAGCGGTAGAAGATTCTACTGTATACTGCAAAGAGGTAGGTTGATGATGGACTTGTAGAATATGTACTGAGAATTTCTATTTATTTATTTATTTTATATCCCGCTTATCTAAGTCGATTAAGACCACTCTAGGCGGCTTACAACAAAAAATACCATATCAATACAGACAATTTTACATAAGGGGAAAACTTACGACAAGATCGGACAAACACTAGGGAGAGGAAAGAAAGGGAAGATCACGAATTGGTGGAGGGGAAGGCCTGCCGAAACATCAATGTATTTAATTGATTTTTTAAAATACCCAGCGAGGGAGCCGCGCGAATATCAGGGGGTAGGTTATTCCAGAGGCAAGGAGCCACCGCCGAGAAGGCCCGATTTCTTGTCTTTTCTTTCCAGGCCTCCCTCAGCGTTAGGCTCCTCAGCCTCACCTACTGGCTCGCGCAAGTGACACGGGTAGATCTTGGTGGGAGTAGGCGTTCCGCCAAGTATCGAGGCCCTAAACTGTTTAGGGCTTTATACGTGAGCATCAACACTTTGAAGTCGATGCGGAATTGGATGGGCAGCCAATGCAATGCAGCCAGAGTGGGTGAAATGTGTTGGGATTTTTTCACACCACTAAGAAGTCTGGCCGCTGCATTCTGCACCACCTGAAGTTTCCGCAGCAGCCTCAAAGGCAGCCCCACATAGAAGGTAGCATATACTGCACTTTATCTAGCCAACTAGATAATGGTGAGAAGGAGTTAACAGTCACAATGCTTCAGTTGCATGGGGATATTTAGGTGTGGGTCACATTACTAGGTAATAAGGTAAAATCCAGATTTTCCAGGACAGGCAGAGCTGAGAGCTAATAATTTGTGCATGAAACAATGATGCATGAGACAATGGGGATGATGAAGAGAGAGAAATGTATTCATAAACTACCACATGCATTGAAGAGTGCATACTGTACTGCATTCCTACTGTGCCACTCCCATTTTTCTGCTGTTTTCTGAATTTTTTATTATTTTAATGATTCATTTAATAAAAATTAATTTTAAATTGTGCTCATTTATATTTATTTCCTTCAGGTTTCAAATTTAAATTCCTCTTTCTGTATAATGTATAATTCAATATGATAACCATCCATGCTGTACCCTGGTTGAAATAAACCATCCCCAGTGCAAAGTATCATTTGGACAGTATGTTTTGAGGGGCTCCATTGACATGAATGTTTTTTCCCCTCCAGACAGCCCATCCCTTTTGCCTGAGGGACATTTTCAGGGACTGCATTTCCTCTCAAAATATTTTTGGCAGGGAACAGTTCCTCTCATTCAACTCAACAGAGAAATGTTTATTTGCCATTTTTCAGTACATAAGGTTTCTAAATGAAAATAATTATGAAACAGAAACACAAAGGATTTTTTTGGAAAAAAATCATCTAGGTTTATTTTAATTTTGGATAAAGTCAACTTATTAAATGCAGATTAAATATGAGTAGATCTCTTTCATATTTATTTTTCTTTCAGATTAAACAAAAGTACATCCTTCATAAATTGCTGCACAGATCTAAATCTTATATAAATACATAAGATAATAATGAAAGATAAAGTATAATCTCTCAAATGTGAGAAGAGGATGAGGCTTCACTGAATTGGCACTTTTGACATTTAAAGTGCTTCAACTTGAAAAAGCCAAGCTTCATTAGAGAAGAAAATAGAACTGCCTCATTAGACTACTGTGTGTAACATATCTCCATAAAGGAAATTCTATGTTAAGATCACAGTACAGAAGTAATTATGAAGATAATGCAAGGAGTTGTGCCATCAACACAGATTGAAACATATTGTCTCTAAACAGAATGTTCAGTATTTGTTGCTGTATAAAAACACAAAACAACAAAGGTTAGGAAAACCTTTCTTAAGCAGAAGTTCCGCCACCTATTCCTTCAAACATATTAAGATAACGATCTCACATGAGGAAACATTTACTATTTAGTACCTATCTTACCAAGGAGGACAAAGAGCACAGGTGGTTAGCCTCATATTTCCAGAGTCTTATCTGCAAGACTTCAGTAATTGAAAACTGTCCATAATAACTTAACAATCAGCTAAAACAGGTACATCTTTAACTAATGTGAAATTAATCTCAGAACAGATATAAATCAAATAAGGTGCCTTCCAAAGATGGTCCCACTAAGCCTACATGGGATCTTCTACTCTCCTCCAATGGCCTAGAGCAGTGAAGGCGAACCTATGGCACGCGTGCCACAGCTGGCACGCAGAGCCCTTTCTGTGGGCATGCGAGCCATAAGTCACTGGATTGCTACTCCCCCCCCACAGTCAAACATCAGGAGGCGGCTGCAGCCACAGTGCTGGTGCTTCAACAGGCAGAGGGGCAGGATCCAAAGCAGCTGTGGTGGCAGCAGATCCGCAGTGGGGTCTCGAGGCAGCTCTGTGCCCGGAATTCTGCCTTCCACTGCCACTTCCAGTTCTGTCACCACCACGTCTGGTCCCACTGCAACACACCTCCCGCTGGGGTCCCCCCCCCAGTTTGGGCACTCAGGCCCAAAAAAGGTTCACCACCACTGGCCTAGAGTATGTCAGTGCCCTCAGCCCTTGGAAGAACCCTAATAACTCTGCATGACCACACCACTGATAGAGAAGATTTCTACCACCATTGCCAAAAACTATGTCCTAAAATCAGGCTTTCAGTTCAGCAGCTGTGTTGCCTTGTTGCTCTAACCATCTGCCCCCTCCCCCGCTCCAGAAAACTCTTTGGCTCTATCAAGTAGTTGGCCTCATAATTCCGGAGCAAGAGAACACTGGAACAATTTATTGACCAGCTGACTATTTCTTCACTCCAGAGACCAGACAGAACTACCTTGATAGAACTACCAATTATTGCACTTTTGCAGTGCAGCACTGTCTTATGACTTTAACAAAACGCTGTACTGCTTGTTACCATGTTTGATGAGAAGATGATGTATGTTCCATATGTGTTAATTCAACTATTCATCTCATATTACTAAAACACTGTAATTCTTTAAATTCCTTCAGATGTAGCCACAAGTCAGGCAACAGTCATGTATATACAGGGTATGGATGAAGCCACAAGTCAGGCAACAGTCATGTATATATGGATGAGTTCATATATGGATGAGTTCACATACAGGGACATAAAATGCAATATAAGAATCTATCTGTGCAATGAAAAAATAATATAATGTACAGGGACATAAAATGCAATATAAGAATCTGTGCAATGAAAAAATAATATAATGAGAAAAATGCACTACTAACTGAGTTGCTTGTTAAGTTTGTTATACTCAAAATCAATGCACTTTCTTGGTACCTTTTGCTGTGCTTGGAAGAAAAAAAAACTTGTGATATATAAAAATCTATCTTTTGCCAAAAAAGAGAGAGATGATTCAATAAAAGGTACGCCATTACCTAACGTGTGTATAATAAAACACAGTTTCATTGCTGCATTCTAGGTTGGCAATAACTCTGAGATTGTTCTTCTCTAATTATGAAACAAAGTGCTGCTCAAACTGTGCTTTTCCTAATGATTGCCGAAAAATCTGCAATTAAGAAATAACCTTTTCTCTTTGTCCTGAAAATTATCAATATGTGAAAAGTATGATTTGTTAAATGAGATTCCCCCCCACACACACACACCATCTCTTTGGAATGATTTAATTACATATACAAGAAAGTTCTATCATTGTTGGCCTTGTGACAACATTCTGGCAGCTCTTGAAAGCATGGTATGATTATATTCCCAAAATGTATTTTGATATCTCATATTTACCATTAGATATTACAACAGAATTAAGGATAATGACCATTGATTAAAAGAGAAAAGCTTCAGATATTTTGGAGTTCAGCTTGTTAACATGGAGAAAACACATTCTGAACCACTAAGGATTCTAACAAAAAATATCAATTTCTTACTTGGTCCTCAAAGGAAAGAGCCTGGGCAACATCTCGTGGAAATCCATCAATAACAATGCCTTCTTCATCAGGAATCTGCATTAATCTTTGCTTTATCTCAGTAATGGTTGTTTCCTTGAACAGATTTTAAAAACACATACACATATACGATAAGGCTTATTGATTGATAGATTTACATAGTACACATAAATAATGCATGCTCAAATCTTTTCTGCCGGGATAACTAGCCAGTTCACAGTTTGGGCACTCAGGCCCAGCTAATTCTGTATTTACCTGAGGAGCTAATTCTCCAGTAGTAATTATCTTTGCAATCAAGCTCCACTTTCGATTACTGCTTGTGTTGTGGATTTTCTTTCTTAACAGTTCGCCAACAGAGATGTACTCAAATCCATAGCGGTCAGCTATTTTCAAGCTCTGAGTTCCCTTTCCACTTCCTGGACCACCTATTATTCACCATGTAGAAAATGAAAAATAAAGGCCTTATTTGTTGGCTCAGGTTCACTGCAGAATACTCACCATCCACTACCAACATTTGCCTCCCTATTTAGGAATTTGGTGTTCATTTAATAGCTAAAAGCCTGATTCTATGCTCTAGACCAGACTTCACCAGCCTAGTGCATGTCAGATACCTTGGACTACAACTCACATCACCCATACCCATCATAACCAAAGTGTAGCACAGGGTTTAATGGTCTAAAACCTGGCAAAATCACAGATGAGATGAGTCATACAAGAGAATAAAGGTTTTGCCCTAGCACTGTCTAGGGTTCCCCCCCCCTTCATTTTATGTGTGACAGCTGAACACTGAGGCCATAGCTGTCCCCCTGATTCCTTGTGAGCAACACTCTTCACATTCTGGACACATCCTTTCTCTTATTTCAGAAAGGCACAGCTAGCATCTGAATAGGAGACCATCAGAGAAAACTAGGGATCTTCAGGTAGGACTAGGAAAGACTCCTATAAAGTTGCTACCAGTCAGAGTTGACAGTATTAGGGTAGATGGAATCAGTACCAGGCAGCTTTCTATATTCCTTTCTCGTTGCAACTGTAATTTAGGATGTTCCTATTCTAAATCAGCTGCAACTGTTGGAAGAGCAACCAGCATACTACACCTTTAAGAGGTTTTGAAGAGAGGGACTTTGTGTGAATATCAATCACTTAGAGTAACCAATTGTTGGACTCTGTACCTCAGTATCTATTTCCCATCCTTTTACCTCAGTCAGGATCTATCAGGGTTCTGTGTTTGTTAGAGTCTGTTAGTGTTTAGCAATGTGAGAGTTCTGAGACAAGTTAGTAACAGCAGTGTTTCAGTGTTCTGATTATTTATGTAACTAGTCAGTCAGTGAAGAAACTAATGAAGCTAGCCAGTTATCATAATATGTAGCTAGTGAATGTTTTTGTTTGTATTCTGACATGTAGATTTTGTAAGTAAAATAGATATATTTTTATTTATTCTAAACAGAAAAGTCTCTGAGTATTTATACTGAGACTGTACACTAGTTGAAGTGAAGTAAGGTAAATCTGACTAAAAACTCTAGCAAAAGGGGTGATGTATCTGAGGGAGACTTGTTAATTAATATACTGTACATCTGCTCTGCCGGTCTCTGTCTGAATCCACTGTGTAGCTATGGAAGTTTTTCAAATTTATTTTTGAAAAACTTTTTTGAAAAGCAATATCCACACACTCTGCCCAATAGTAATTGACATAAAATCCTGGAGTAAGAAGTTGCCACAGCAGCACAAAACTCCATCTATTGGTTAAAAAAAAGAAGAAGAATGGGAGATTGTTTGCCAAGCTATCTGTTTATGCAGAAGCTGGACAGAGCAGAGCCAAGACTGAAATGCTACATAATTAAAATGCCAAACCAACACACTGCAAATGTGTAAGGACCAAATGCCACATATAAAACGGATGACATAACAGTGTCACTAGCAGAAGCAGCCGAAGTTATTTTTTGGACCACAGCTCTCAGGACATTCCAGCTGGCATGGCTGGGATATTCTGGGAACTGTAGTCAAAAAGAGTAACTTCGTCCATTTCTTACTGCCAGTGTTCTGGGTCTGATTTTTTTTTTTTAACTAAATTCTATCTAAAGTCACTCAGCTTTGCTTGCTGCAATTCAACAGTCATTCTTGTTTTCTGGGCTAACTTACAGTTATTAATACAAAACAATGAGTTACATTCTAATTTCCAAATTATTATTTGTCTGGGTGAGTAATCTGTCCATGTCTAGAGATGACCATGAACCTTGGTTTGGAGATTCATGCCAGTTTGTAAACGGGACACCGCAGGTGCTGCATGTTCCCTTCTGTATCTCCCCGGCTGGAGTATGCTCCTCTTCTCCTACTCCTCTTTGGCTGTTCAACCAGTCTCTGGAAGGAGAACAAGCTTTCCTGCCCCACCTCCTTGGCTGATCAGCTACATGGACAAGGAGACAGGACAGGCAAGCCTGTGCTTCTACTGGGGACGGGCTGAACAGCCAAAGAGGAGGTGGAGAGGAGGACGCTCTGGCTGGTGAATGCAGCATTGGCCAGGGAGGTGGAGGAAGGGAATGCACCGGATGGGAACTGAAGTTCATGCCCATCTCGATCCATGTCACTTAGTTTCTTTTCATTTCTATCATGTTTCCCCACATACTTGATACCCATTTTAAGTACTGTATTTTTCGCACCATAAGACACACTTTTTCCCCACAAAACAGGGGGGTGGAAAGTCTGTGCGTCTTATGGAGCGAAAAATACGGTAGCTTTAGAAGGTCTGTTCAGTAATTCTGAAATCTCAAATCCTTCGTAGTTGGAGAGAGAGGCTAGCCCTACTCCCCTCATCACCTTGATCAAGTAAGCAGTGTCATGTCCAAAGAGAAGGGTTCTACATGGAAATATTAAAATCTTTCTTATGTGTAGACTTAGACGTGAGCAGGTATATCTGCATTTCAGACTTGTATCTGTTTGTGGGACAAAAATAAAGGCGGATGGAGAAAGGCTAATTTCTGCCCTGTAATCATGTTGGTGATGTTTACATATTTTTAGAACAACAGACTAGGGCAATAATTTGTACAGTATGACTCAACTATCAGGGATGAGATTTTCGTAATTCTAAGGTTTTTCAGTCTCAGAGCTCACCGAGAACCCCCTAGGCAGACTTCTGGGACCAGGAGAGGAGAAACCAGAAGGCAAAAGAGATGTCTTTCTACCTCCATATTGTGCTTCTTTTCTTGTGGTTTGGCTGGAAAGAAGAATGACTCAGCCACACTGCTTCCTGGGAATTGCCTTACTGCTCCATGGAGATAGATGGCATCTCTTCTGCCTTCTGGTTTCTCCTCTCCTAGTCCCAGAGGTCTATCTGGGGGATTGAAGATGCATTCTGGGACTGGAAGTTCCAGAATTACAAAATCTCATTCCCTGTCAACTGTATCATTTCATTTCTCATTTAACCCAACAGCATTCTTACAGTTCATATTTTCCCCCTAGGGCTGTTCTGCTCATTTCCTACCTATGACAAGGATGATTTTAGGTCTTGGTCTTGCAGGATCAAATACATCATATTCCTCAATAAGTTCAGCTGTTTCTGAGAGATCTGTGTCACTTTCTATGGAGAACTGCTGGATCGGAGGGAGTCGTTCATATCGCCGATAGGGAAAGTTGGGATTGTCTGGCATTACTATAAAGCAGGAAGAAAAGACAAAAGAACTAGAACTTTTGAAAAGGAATGAATAATGAAGAACATAACGATTTCATTCAATTAAGCAAGAGATATCTGTTTACATTAGATTCTATCTGTCTGGCATTTAAGGTTAGGTTTTGGTTTAACTGATCTAATCAACTGGTATTTTCAGGCAATCTATACTGAAATACAGCAAGAAAAGTGACAGCACTGAAGCCCCTGGCTACCCTAATGTCACATAGGGAGACATCTAGCATGCCATCTGTACTGTTGACAAAATAGCCTGCCTCTTTTAAGAACAGTTTCCATTTCCTTAAAGAACTGAATCCAGCCAGCCCTAACTGGCAGAAGCAGACCTGTCTGGCTTAGAGCAAACTGCTATACCATACTTTCTGTAAACCTGATTGATGTCAAAACTGCATGTAAATTAAGTAAAGCAGAACCTGCCAAAATCCTAGGGAGAAAAGGAACACAGAGAGGCTACCCTAGATCAGTGGTTCTTAACCTTTGTTACTCAGGTGTTTTTAAACTGCAACTCCCAGAAACCTCAGCCAGCAGAGCTGATGGTGAAGGCTTCTGGGAGTTGCAGTCTAAAAACATCTGAGTAACAAAGGTTAAGAACCAGTGCCCTAGATAAAGAAGGGTAGAGAAAAAATGGCAAGGGTCTATGAGGGCCCAGGCTCAGGTCTAAGGGGGTTCCTGGCTGAGAAGCCCTCAATGGGCTGTTCCTGAGAGGTCCATATCCCCATCGCTGCTGCCATATGTTTATTGCCTCACTCCTTCAATCCCAATCTGAGCAAGATGGGAGCAGACAGTCAGCAAAAATTGTGGTTTCCTCTCCTTGTTTCTGTTCTGTCATTGCTGATCTGCTTAAAAGAGTACTATCATCAGCAACAGCAGTGCCAAAATGGAGTGGTAGGGCTTGATGTGTCCAGGGGTCAGGAGTGGATACCTTGCTAGGATGTGTTCTCAATGATTCTGATCTCCTCAGTGGGTGTTTTGGGCCTAAAAAGTTAGGATGTGAGAAGATGAGATCTTGCTCAATAAAAGACAAGAAAGCCAAAAGGGTTGACAGGAAATGTGAGAATGGGTAGAAGGAAGAGATGATAACGGTCAAGCTATTCAGAATGGAGGAATCCCACTTTATTGGGGGATGGGCGCAGCTGGGCCGGTGATAGGTTGCAGACCTCTGTTTATTTCATTGTGTGAATCCAGCAGACGCTAAGAGATTGACTGTCTGACACAGACTGTGGTCCTAACAAAGAAAACACAAATGCAGGGCTGCTCTACCATTTGACAATTTGGGCAAGTGCCTCAAGCAGTAGATTGTTTAATTTATTACAGTGGTAATTTTACTTCTTGGAAATGGGAGAAGGACTTGGGAGATTTTCTGCCTCAGCATCAAAATTACTTAGCTGGCCTAGGGTGACATCTTGGCTTAGGCAACAAGAGGAGGATATTTGGTGCTCTGTCATGCCTTGAGCTAAGCCTGTCAAAATGGCTTCTTAAGAAAACCCAAAGGAAACAGAAGACAAAAGTTCTGCCCAGCAACAAAACAGAGCTTTAGTGTGCTGTGAACAAGACAGTAAATCCCAGACTGGTGATTGTCTGTGGCTGTGACATTACTCAAACGAATGTTACACATTTTAAAGTGCAGCACCTTTCTTCTTTCATGAAAGCAAGGCTGAAGCAAGCCTCTAAATCAAGGAGAAACCTGCGACCCTTCAAAGGTTGCTAGACTTTCATTCCCATCATCCCTCACAACTGACAGTGCAGACCAGAGTTAAAGGGAGTTCAACAACATCCTCCCTGTTGTCCATTGCTGCTCTAAGCAGATGGTGTCCTGCAAACCCTTGGCTTCGTGAGTAGACTCTTCCAAATTATTTTTATGCAGAAGCAACATTCCCAGTTAACTGAGTCAGATCTACTCATACACTTGACATACTAAATGTATGGAACCTTTTTCAGTTCAGTCTTACTTTCAGCCACTTAGAGCAAACAAATAATCTGACACACTATTTTTCAGTCTGTTGAATAAGTTGCCATACATATGAGCAAGCAAGCAAACAAATTAGGCCTCCTGGTAGCCAGTGAATTTCTTATTTGTTTGTTTGTGTATACAGTACATACCCCACCCATCTAGTGGCCAGGCCACGACTCTGGGCAGCTTAACAGTATCATAACATAAACATGGAGTAAAACAGCTATAATAATCCAATAAAACATCAACACAGACAAATTTCTAAGTACAAAATAATGAATACTGAAAATACAAAAACACATAAGCCATAGAGTTTTGCAACTCTGGTTTTAAATTCTTTTTAGTGTCAAGCCAGAATTTTTTAAATCAAATGTTAGATGGATAGTTTCACCTAATTACTGCCTATAAAACATACAAAGCATGAAATGCCCTAATTGCTTAGGGAAAAGAACCTCTATAGAACTCTTGTGGCTTTACGAGAACATTAACTATAGTAAAAGAATTAGGTGTTTTTTATTACCTCAGATAATTTACTAGCCAGCTTTCTGGCATAGTTCAAAATATTAGCTGAATTATAGATTGCTTTTTAGGTGTTCTAACTATTCCATATTAATTATACTGGTATTGCCAATAACATCACTATGCACAGCAACAAGGCACTGTTTACTTCAATTATGTTTAGCACCAGTTAGGCTTTTCACTGCATTACAGGTTCTGCATTTCTGCCTGTCCTAAGTTTTCTTTTAATAGAGCTTTGGCTATTAAAGATAAGGGAAGCACTCCCTGGTCCATCATTACAAAGGGGTGCATATTTCATCTTCTGCTGACGTATGGATATTCTGCCAAATTCCAGTATCATATATTTCAGTTAATATAAAATGGAGCACAAGCTTGTTCATGTGTACTCATTAAAAAATCCACTGTGTTTAATGAGATTTAGAATTCAATCCTACCTGGTGTAAACAGCTGAATGCTAGTTGAGCCAACATTAGGCCAGCTAACATTAGGTGCAGACTCCATACCCTGTCCAGTCTAGCAATATGATAAATTATTTTTAATTCAATTCAATATTTAGTGTGTAGCTGGAGGGCTGACAAGAAATTACTTTCAGTTATGCTTGCTCTGGCCTAAATTTGTCCCAGGACTGCAGCTGTGTCCTTGGGCTGGAGGAGGTTTGGACCAGATCTAGTTCTTCTCCACATTTTTCATGACTCTTCTGATGGCAGATCTTAACCAACTAAGAGGTTCTTCTGTCAGATTATTCTTTTTGGAAATTCTTGAAGATCAGCCAAAGCAGGAAGGCATTTCTGACAGCAGAAGGAGACTTCTACTAGCACAAGAGGTTTGTGCCCAATTGTAACTCTTTACACTACAGCAACCACATCTTTGAATGAAGACTGCACTCTTACAACCTGTCTACATTTCTCAAAACCCACAATATATAGTGTTTTAATTTTAGCCAACTCAAGTCACATGGTTTTTGAATTGTGTCCTGCGTTTCTACTGAGTAAGTGAAATGCTCCCTTTTAAAACTGGTTGTAACCTTCACAATGGCCTAAGTTGGTTAAGAAAACAATGTGCTAATATAAATGGCCCTCTGATGGCTGTTTATTTTAACTCACTTCCTAAGAAAATAGTGTGACTCAGAGGAAAATAAATATGCTCTTTGGAATTCATTGTGTGAATGTGAAACTCAGCATGGTTTTTAACACAGGTCAAATCTCAGGTGATTAGTCCCATGGAAGGGTGCACACAATTCCAGCTTTATGTACACAGGCATCTTGTGCAATGAATCAGAATTTGAATCCAAATTAAAATTAGGACAAATCTTTACACAGTTAAAACCACCCCACAGATTTATTTATACACTATTGGTTACTATTGCCACTTATTGACTGTTGCCACACGTAACTGGCACAAGCCACACCACATCGCATTTCATTAATATGCTGAAGTACTGAACAAGCATCCAATATGGTTTTCTCCAAATCATGCAAGCAATTTGCCCAGTTCATTTATCCCCTCTATCTGAATCCAAACAAAACATGAAATAGTTGTATTAAAAATATCTTACCATTCCTGAAAAATGCTCTTCGTGATTGGCTGCCATTAAGTGGAGGTAGTGTCCTTTTTTCCGGACTCACAAATGTATCCCATTTTACTTTTTCTGCTCCTCCCAGTTCCTTCACTTTTTGTAAACAGCCTTCCAGATATTCAACTGGATCATCAGGTTTGTAGCACATCAATCCATTCAGTAAACTCTGAAACACAGCACCCCAAAGTGTTGGTTTGCTAAGAGTTAAATTAAGATTTTACTCTGAGGTTAACATCATTACAGCCCCATCCTGTATTTTCTGTGCTTTCCATGCCAAGTTTGAGACATGTGAAGCCATCTCACACCATAAATCAGGAACTCTGTCATTCCAACTCAAAGACCTCCTAATCCACAAAGCTGTTAAACAAGTAAAACGCTATTACTGTATAACTAATCCAAGTATTACTTGTTTCACAAACTAGTGGAATAAGATATTCTAAAACCAGACTTTGGAACAAACTGATTACTTTAACTAATTAGGCTAATCTATTAATTTTCAATCCAAGGAGGGCCAAACAAATTTAGCATAGAACAGTATTTACATGCTAATTTAAGTAATAAAAGAATAGTTTATTCTCTCTCATTCTTAATGTGACTTCTAAGCATGATTTTTAATTTCACACAGGTGAGTAGAGGATGCAGCTATTTAGTGAGTATAAAAACTCAGTTCTTTATTAATTTTTTTTTCCATCTAGGCAAAGAGTCGATCATGTTTGAATGCTGAGTAAGAACACAAGTGTTTCTAATAGGGGGGAAAAGAAAGAATGATGCAAATCACCAATAAAGCTTAATTAAATAGATTGCAGCATTTTTCAACCTCGTGTTTGTAAGAAAACATTGTATTACAAATCCTCCCATACAAATGGAATTGTGAGATTTGTCATCCAAGGCATCTCAAAAACACTAAATTGAAAAAGCCCACCTAAACTATGAAAAGAAAAAAAAAATCAGTAAATACTGTAACAAAATTCCACTAGGGTAACTTGGTGCACTGCAGAAGTGGGGAGGTGGTCCTTCCTAAGGAAAGGATGGATCCAACTGGTTTCCTTCTGCCTCTTGGGAGTTCACTTTAAGCTTGGCAGGAATGCTAGTTTATGGCTGGTTGACTTCTGGAGTGGGGAAAGGGCTAGGATAGTAGACATAACTCCCAAGCATCCCCTCCCAGAGTGGAGTTAGTGGAGTCAAACTAGCCCCCTGTTTACAAGGGAACTTGTGATGATGAAATGAACTGGGTGGAGACCAGAGTGACACTACCAGAACATGCAGAGCAGGCCAGACTGAACAGAGGCTAGAGTCCATTGCAAGGCCCACTCCATGATGATGTTGGCAGCAAAGAAGTCATTCTTCACAGTCACCACATCTGTCATCAGGTGGTCAAGGGACAATTACAATCTGGCCCCCAGAAGAGAATGTAGACCTTTTATTTATTTAATTTTATTTATTTAATCTATATGCTGCCCACACTACCCAAAGGCCTGGCTGTAAAGAATCTGAATGACAATTTGAGGTAAAGTTGCTTTGATCTGCTCTGGCTTGGTTTCTGTTACTGAGATAAGTTCTGTGGATTTAATTTTGGCTCTTGCGTGTCCAGTTATAATGGACAAGTTTCAATTAATACAGTTTAAGTGTGTAAAGAGATTCCTCGTAGAGGTGAGAAATGCAATGTGCTGAACTGTTGCCCGTCTTGACTCATAAAAGTGGCCCGGGGAACTAGCAAGGGTGTTGGTTTAGGATTCGTGCCAGTAGTATGCTGACAACACCCAATTCTTTCTCTCCTTTACATCTAAATCCAAGGAAATTATTTTGATTCTGAACCAGTATTTTAGGTTGGTAATGGACTGGATCAGGGCAAGAGAACAGAAGACAAGACAAAGTCCATCTGGTCAGTTGAAAGGCAAAATCAGCACACAGGGATTCGACCTATGCTGTGCATTCCTGAATCCCGCCCTGAGCTTGGATAATCAGGTTTTGGCAGTGACCAAGAGGGTGTTTGCAGGCTTATAAGCTAACCTGCTAGTTGTACCCATTCCTTCAGTGTCTGATCTGACTATTGCCTTATCTATACCCATGTTCTACATGGGGCTGCTGCTGAAGAGAGTTTGGAAACTTTTGCTGGCTCAAGATGTTACAACCAGACTTTTCAGCAGAGCCAGCTGCAGAGAGTACTTACCTCCTGAATTGCAACATCTCCATTGACTAATGGTCCATTTCTGAGTCCAGTTCAAAGTGCTGCTTGCAGCCCATGAAGCCCCACATGACTTTGGCCCAGACTATTTCCCCATATGAGCCTCTCCAGGTTTTTTTTTAAAGTATCATTAAGGGAAGTGCTACTCTTGGTTCTCATAATCATGTTTGGTGAGGACACAAGAGAAGACCTTTCTGGTGGCTACTCAAAAGCTGTGGAACTCCCTTCCATAGGAGGCCAGTGTGCCACTCTCCCACCTCTGACAGCAACCAAAGGCCTTTCTCTCCAGAGAAATCGTTTAGCAACTGAATGGGCTCCAGAAAAGACCTTTTAATGGGAGAAGCTGTGTTTTATTTTATTTCTTTAACTCTGTTTTTAATCGTTTTTGAAAACATTCTTTTTAGCTGTCTTTTAACTACAATATATGTTCAAATTGTTTTTAAGATTGCAATCTTTAAAAATTATTATGTTTCTTTTCCAAAGGACTTTTGGAAAATGATTCATGAAATGATAGAGAAAATTTTAGGGGTTAAAATTGCTTTGACACCAGTAATCTTCTTATTGAATATACCACCAACTACACTAGAAAAAAACAAGATCTGCTTGACCTTACACCTGATAACGGCAGCTAGAATTGTATATGCCAGTAAGTGGAAGACTACAAAGGTGCTGACAAAGAAGGAATTTATTGAGATGATTTTGGAACTAGCGGAAATGGATATTTTGACAGATACACTAAATGACAGGCTGGACAATAATAAATGCGAACCTCTTTATACTTGGATGAAATCTACCTCAACTTAAGTAGAATAGATTAGATTAATATATCGTGTTAGACTAAATGACAGGCTGGATAATAATAAATGCAAACCTCTTTATACTTGGATGCTTAAGTAGAATAGATTAGATATATTGTGTTAGAGAGTATAAGACAAGATTAAATGAATGGAACGTATTGCAATAAATCACTCTGGCTGCAACGGACAGAAAAGTAGAAAAAATACAATTAAAAAAATAAAAATAATTTAAAAAAATGATTATGTTTCATTAGCCAAAGTCCAATTGCCCGGGGCCACCTGAGTAACAGGAATGATGTCACTGTCAGCAGCAGGTTGCCTCTGATTTCAAGGTGCTCCCAGACCACATGTAATGAAGTCACATGCACCCCAAAATTAGAAAATGTAATCTTTAGTCTGCAGCAATCGGCAGCGGCTGATGATGATGTCATTCCCACTATTCAGGCAGAACTTGCCCAACAAGATTATGGCATACATATCTTTTTTAAAAAAACCATTTTGGGTTCATGAATTAAAGGAAAATAGAGATGGGCACAAACCGCCGGTTCAACTGTTTGGCATGGTTCACTTCCTTGCCAAACAGCTGATCCACAGTGGGTGCCCACACCCAGAGGAGGCAGGGCAGGGTGCTGCTGCCGAGTGGGCAGTAGCGAGGATCAGTTGTTTGGCAAGGAAATGAACTGCACCAAACCAGTGGTTTGTGCCCATTTCTAGAGAAAGACAAATCAAACAAATAAGCAAACAAATAATAATATACAGAGAGGAAACATTGGTGACTATAGTGATACTTAAGTTATCTTAATTAAATTAATTCAAATCTCTACCCACAAATGTCAAACTAAATTAGGCCTTTTAACTAAAACATTAGTGAGTTAGATCTTTGGCACTGACATTCCAAGTTCCTCCCAGGACTAACCAGAATCCACACATGTACCAAATGAGTTGTTCTTCCAAGTCCATAGCACAGTTGTTACCACATTTGTTACTGCAGCACAGGGCAAAAACACGCAATCTGTTTTTTGGTTGTTCTGGGTTTGTTGGGCTCTTTGGCCGTGCTCTGAAGGTTGTTCTTCCTGACGTTTCGCCAGTCTCTGTGGCTGGCATCTTCACATTGAGCACTGCTCGATACACTTTGCTGTCACCACTTCCATGCAGTGTTAACGCACAGGGCATTCCAAAAGAGTCTCGTGTTATCCCGGGAATGGGATAATGGCAGCCCTCACTGCTGAAGAGCTCCTCAGTGGACTGGCCATTGTTTTTATACACCTTTAGTAAAACCAATTAACCTTATTAGACTGTTATTTACAAAATACTCAAAGGAGAATGGAGTCAGAAGTCAGAAGAATTCTAATTAAATAACATTCTCACAGAGTTAACAGCAGCCATGTGGGGTGGACATGATTGTATCTTGCTTGCCTTTTTCCTTGACACTGAACAAGATCCAAACAATGATCCAAAAATGTCCTTGTTTGGCAAGGTGCAAATTTCTCCAAGAAGGATCGTATGTAAGGAGAGTAAGTAATCTCATGCCTCAGAGAATGAATTTTGAATGGTTCTTTTCCCATCAAAATTACACAGGGTGCTGTCCTCTGAAGATGCCGGCCACAGAGACTGCTGAAACGTCAGGAAGAACAACCTTCAGAACACGGCCAAAGAGCTCAAAAAAACCAGAACAACCATTAGATCCCAGCCGTGAAAGCCTTCGTGAATAAATCTGTTTTTCCTTCAAAACAATCCCTTACTCCCCATGCCTCTTGCCCACAAATGAAATTATGGTTCTATAAACCAGACAAGAACATTTGTAGATAAGATAGGTTTGATAACATTATTCTTCATTTGCCATCCAAAGTGTTAAAAACCTGGAAAGAATGTGACACATGCTTTTTCTGAATATACATTTAATATTCCCTGGGGGAGCCAGGTGTTCTTACCAGGTTCTGGCACATTGAGAATATGAACTATATTTAGAATTACAAGCCAATGATAAAGCACTGATATGTACAGTATATGGAGAGAAATTACTAATAAATCCAGTTTTGTTTTATCTGATAGTCATCAGAGTGGATGAAAAGCAATTAAAAATAATAATTAAAAAAATTAAGTTTAAATTTTAAAGCAGGTTTTAAAAATATTTATTATTAAAATGCCTTATCTTTTTAAAAGCCCTATGTGATGTAGTTTCAA